AGTTTTGGTAATGAGTTAATTTTTTTTACTTTGCATATTGAACTTTATCGGGAAAACTACATATGGTACGACCTAATATGTTTGCAGATTCTTAGTCTATTAAAAATTACGAAAATTTTGACCTATCTCCTGTCTGTCGTTGGGTGGATAAAATTCATTGGTATAGGTCTATATTAACTAAATTAATTATTAACAACGATCAGTTTAACTTCAGCTTGCACTGTAAATTATTTGCAGTCAATGTTTTGCGTACCATAAAGTAGAATAGGTTGAGAATTTATAATTTATAACAATAAATTTTTACACTTACACAGATGAATATCAGAATTTAATTTACAATAAGAGGATTAAATACTCAAAGTTGCAATTTTTATGGTTGGAATTTTCAGTTATTTCAAGTCGAATCAGCAGATTTTGTCCTCATTTTTTTTACCACATCTTGGAAAGAGCACATGCAAAAAATATGCGCATTATTATTATTTTAAATATTCTCCCCACAACCTATGGTGTTGTGTGCGAATAATTTACGAGTGGATTGTTTGGGTACAGTCTAAGAAACTGGGTATTGATTTTTAAAAGTTTCAATACCAGTACTCCGGTATTAAAATTTTTTCTGGCCTGATATTACTGCATCGTATTAATCCAATACTTCATTTGATAGTATTAATACGGCATTGGTATGATTTATTACCCATTAGTATCCATAGATCGGATATTTTGCGTACTCCGGCCTCCGGCAAATCTCGTGTACTCCGGCCTCCGAGTACTCCGGCCTCCGGCAAATCTCGTGTACTCCGGCCTCCGAGTACTCCGGCCTCCAAAAAAAGACGACAACTCCGGCCACCGGAGGCCGGAGTACGTACTCCAAGCCCGGAGTACTCCGACCTATGTTAGTATCTAGTCAATACGTCAGGTAACGTCACCAGAAACAACAAGCTTGGTAATGATTTTTTTAAGAGTGTAGTGGCTAAAAAATATAAATGGCGAAAAAATACTAATTGCCAAACTTAGAAGCGATATATGCGAGAAAAATCGAACAAAAATCGCAAACGAGTATGATGCTTCCGAATTTGCTACACCCTGTATATTTGCACACCGCGAACAAGTTAACGTGAACTAGAAAGCTTTCAGAAATGGTAATCAATATATTACGTTCTAAAAATATACTCGGTTGGATAGAGTAAAAGGTTGTTATGACACCGTAAAATTCTGGTAATGCAAGTTTTAACTGAACGGGTACCCTCCTCGGTGAGTTCATTTAAATACGAAGGATATGAAAGTATGCAAATGTACTTGAATTATTAGAAGTTTAATAAAAATAAGTCATTAATCCATTCCTTGCATAAGGCAGCATGTAGTAATTTTGACGTTAGACATGTACATGCACATAAATGTACGCATCACTCATGAAATTATAGCTCAATTGCGATGATATACATTTTGCACGGTTCCTTCTTTAATGGGGAGGATATCGGCCGATTTAAAAACTTGGAGTACCGGATTGTGCACTACATAATTTAGTTTGAGTAAATAAAATTTGTCACTTTTTGGCCATAATTGCTCTTCATCGAATAAATTAAAATAAACGCCATGCATTTATTTTTGGCAAAATTGCTGAAATATGTAAAAACATATTTATGTGCCTCAAAAAAATATACATTTTTGACCAAATTTCCAAAATATGTACAAACATATTTATGTGCATTAAAAAATGCACATTTTAGGCAAAATCGTCGAAATATGTAACAACATATTTATATGTACCAAAACCACGAAATATATAAAATATGTAAAAATATTTTTTTGACCCTGTGCCCTATGCATGATCATTAGCAAGATCCCAAAGTTTCAACTCAATCGGGTTGTTATTGAAAAGTTGAAAATACATACATTTCCGGACTCTGGTTATCCCGTGCATTTCTGAGACTTGGGATCCATTGGGAAATCTGAATAGTAGAGGGATCCTGCAGGATCCCTTATGATTAAAGTTTATTTCCTACAGGATGCGATGCATATATGCAAACAATGTAAAAAATCCAATTGGAATTTTTTATATTGGAAAATGATTGATGGGTCCCCAATGGAATTGTTACCATTTACGGGATCGTATTGGAACATACATTATAAAACATAATATCATATCTGAATTATTCATTTTGGAAAAACTTGAGGTTAACAACGAAAAGGCGTATATGAAAGTTTAATCCAACTTGAAACTATATGAAGTTTTACTATGAATTTTGCTAAAGTGAATTGCACATTTGTAGTTGCAAGAAATAAAAAGCGACAAATTATCTTATTAAACAAGTATTTAATCTGTTTCGAAAAAATTCACAACATCAATGTAATATGTTTTTACATCATTTCGATATACAAATTTTAGAATACCCAGATATTTTAGGATTTTTACCTTTTGCATCAAATTGTAGCGTGACTTGTATGACATGGAATGCTTGCGCTGGTTACTGGACATTGTTGGCGGCTAAGTTGATTTTAAAAAGTTACGGCTAATTTGGTAACTGAACTATAAAAATACTTAAAAGTTCGAATTAACCAAACGTGAATGACCGAAAATAAATATTCCATTTGCAACGACTCACCACTGATCTCATATAGCCCCGCCCGGAATATTTTTGGAGGCTCAATTGCGTTTACCATGCTTTGTTAGTTTCAGTCTTTCTTCGGCTACTGCACAATGGGCCAGGAGCCTAAAAATGTGGCCATTAAGGCGGTATCTTGAATTGGCTATTTACATACTTCAACGTGTAGTACGGAACCAACCTGTCCTCCATGCAAAATATAAAACCAAATGTTACACCCACTCAGGCGTACCAGTTGGGTAAACTTTTCATAATACATTATGAAGATAGGGCGAATACACTTTCTAAAAACTTCCTAAAACTTCGTGCATAGCGGACTCAAAACGAATGCCATTAAACAGCCCATGGTGTGCTGGGTATACCCCGCTGCGACCATCTGCGACCATCAAGCTTTATTCCAACCACACCCACTTTTAGTCATAAAATTTAAAAAAAATCAAATTCAAGTTGAATTACTTTTACTCAAGTATGCTTTTAGTATACTCACTCATTGGACTTTCTCAGCAAACTGTGGTGGCAGGAGCGTATTTTGGGTGTAAAAACCACACACTCTGATAGAGGAATCAAAATTAAAGACATTTCTTGCTGAGAGGCTTAATCGCCGATCTTGTGCTTAACAACATTGACAATTGAAATTCCGATTACTTTTCAAATTACTGACCGAAGTCGTGACTGTTTTGGAAACCTTAGGTCAATGCGGGAAATATATATTTCCAGATTTTTTATGCGACCACACCCCCTCGAAATTAAGGTCACAAGGTCAAAGAAATTGTAAAATATAATTAATAACTAAACATCGAACTGTATGTCGAAAAACTGCCTCGACACCCTGGGTACTACATGAAATTTTCAAATGGTCGCATGTCACACCCTCAGTGGGTGTGGCCCTCGGCGAATTTTTGACCTTAACCGAATCATGTCATGTGAGATATCATTTTTCTCATCTCGGCAAGGGGATTCCGACAGATTCATTAAAGTTTTGAAACCACACCCCCCAATGGGTGTGGCTCCAAGGAAATTGTCGATTTTAGCGAAAACAATATCATGTGATATATCAATTTTCTCCGCTGTATGAGTGGATATCCACAGCATTATTAGAATTTTGAAACCACGCCCCCAGAGGGTGTGGAAGGGGGCGTGAGAAAAATTTAATCAGGTTTAAATTACTGAGTTTTACCACCATAGAGTAAAAGAATATCAGCATTCCTTTGAGCTTGTGCCCCCGTGGCGGGACGGATTTTCTGTTTCCTCACTAATCTGAAGGGCGTGGGTTCGAAACCCCGCAGCGAAGTATTTTTGCACCATAATTTTTTATTTGAATGCAATATTAATTAATCCCCCTAAATGTGACAAGATGGAGGGAAAAGCGCCCTTTTTAAAGAAGGGAATCCTACCCAAAAAATTCAATCGGGAAAAAGCTATGGGAACCATGAACCCTTTCCAACATCCTTCATGAACTGTCACATTATTTAAGCCTGTTGGAACCAATTTCAATTTTACTAAAATCAATTATGTTTTATTATGGGTCTTCATTTATTGAAAATGGAATTCCTTAATAAATTGCAAGAACATTATGCAGAAATGCGGTCTGCACGTGATTTTTACTGTGATAAGTACTATGATAGGTGATCGATACTGTGCAAGTCCGCATGAAAATGGCCTGGTATAAATTTGAATTTTGTGCCTAAACTGGTTCTGCAGTTGTGCAGAAATATGTACAATTATGCACAACATACTGAATGAAAGTTAATGCACTACTTTTGTGCATAAAACACACACGTAATTTGTAGAATCCTTCCCAAATTCGATAAATCATGCATACATATGCCAGAAATTTTGTGCATAAAATTCAGCCCATTTTCGCCGAAACATTTTCATGCGGGAGGATACATTTACTACATTGTCGGTAGTGCAGGTGAAGGGATTTTCCAGTTTTAAATGGTAAGTTGTGAATATTTTTTTCTGTTATTTAAGAATCCATTCTTCCACTTCCGCTGTTCCAGCATGAACTAGAGAGAATTCCCACATACATAAGTGCATATGTACACAAATTTCATACAATGGAGTTTTACATAGATACAAATATTCGGCTTCTTATTTATAAATAATTGAAATAACCTAACCAATAACTTCTACACTCTAAACAAAATTTTAATGAATCATTACTGCGCGGAGTGCATATATGACTCTACCGCGATAGTAATGTTTTGGTATTAAAACAATACTATACGGTAAAAAAATTAACACAAATTAGTGTCAAAATTAGCACCAAAAAGTGTTATTTTATTACTAAATCTATACCAACATGGTGTAAATTTTTAATTCCGTCACGGTAGAGTCATACATATATCTACTCCGCTGTTTTTTTTTATTACCAAGTTGCTAAGAGTGTATGTACGTCTACAGACATCTTATCCTTCCCCCTAAAGTAATAACCTTCTTAAAACCCGTTCTAAAATCGGGATTACAACGTGCATAAATGACCGGATTCATGGCAGAATTTGAAAATCCAATGGCCAGGCAGGTCCGCATTGTGAGGAGTTTCCCAGACCAGTCCGTGTAGCCAAGGACGGCATAGACGACCGTGAATGGCAGCCAACTAACACACGCCGCCAAAATTATAATTGCCAACATGTGCAGAGCCCGCCTCTGTCGTTTGAGAGGAATCACCTCGTCGTCATTTTCCTTAATCATGGAGGCCTCCTGCTTTTTATCACTGTTGAACTGAATGTCCACATCCTTCAGTTTCTGGTAAATGTCCCGATATGTTTTCAAAATAATGATCGTCGGCAATAAATAATTTCCCAGGGCGAGAAAAATCCGGTACCCATTTTTCAATGGGGTCACGCATTGGCCCGTTAAGCTTAAAAAATTCTCCGTTTCTGGCATCTCGACAACATCAGGGAGACCGATCCACATGGACAGGATCCATATGAAGGCAATCCTCTGCAAAAAGTAGGAAAACGTGTGGCGCTGCATGTATGTGGTGGTGTCAAATACGATGTGGTACCTGGATTTTTGAAACAAATCAATTCAAACAATAATGTAAAATTTTGGCGAAATTTCCTCTAAACCATTATACTTCGAGGATTTTGATTTGTTTGTATATCATTCTGTTTACAATTAAATTTGAAATTTGTATTAAATTCTAAATTCCTAAACGTCTATAGAAATTAGTACGAAAAACCGAACTATTGGGTCGGATCTTAATCTTGTTGAAATATATTTTTACTTGTGATGTTTTCGTTGTACGAATTTCGCAAAAAGAATAAGCTAACTGATTATCATGATTATTGGCACAAGATATACTGGATGTATGACGTTTAGAAGATGAAATCTCTAAGCTCTATCTTAATCTTAATGATACATTAGTGCTGAAAGTGAGTCGAGTCGAGCCTACCATGTTATAACTAGACTCACTTTCAGCACTAGATACAATTCCAACGACTTATCAATCATCCCTTGTACAATTTAATTCTACAATTTATCAATTCTTGATGTCCTTCTTTTTTCCCTAAATTTTTAGATTTGTTGCTTCTCAATAATTATTACAATTAACAATCATAATTTAAAAAAACTCACCTGTCCAGAGCAATTGCCGCCACGTGGATGAACGAGACTGAGGTGAGGGTCCCAATAATGAAGAGATATGCCTGGCACCATCCCGTCGAAAAGGGCCAGTCATCCGACCTCAGTTCCTGCATAAGGGTGGGGGCAAGGATAACCCCAATCGCAAAGTCAGCCACTGCCATGGAGAGCAGGTAAAGGTTTTGAGGTTTGCGGACGGGCGGGTGAAATATCCAGGCCAACATGACCAACATGTTCCCGCCAATAATGCCAATTATAATTAGTCCCAGGAACATCCCGATTATTAAACCAATCACGTACGTAGCGGTTGCCATATTTACACAAAAGATGGTTTATAAAGATTTGCAAGATTATAAAGTTAAAATACGATAATTTAATGAGTTACTTATTTCTTGAATTTTCACAATTTATATCATTTTTATTGACATGCCTTAATAATTATTGAACACAGAGAAGGAGACTGCCTGCTTCGGAGCTGACGGGATGAGCTATGTATGTACACATAGTAAAAAATGCGAGCAGCTTTCCATGTTAAGTAGGATTTGTGAATGTATCAGTCATTGATATGATATAATGGATTAACAACATTCAGTTCAGTTGCAAATAATTATTAGTTTATTACATCTAACAAGGAATGACTCCCAACTGCTCCTCGTGGTCAGGACATCCACAATTTTTTAAAAGCTAGCATGGATCCGTTTCCATTCGTATTCGGCTAAAGCCACAGAGACACGCCAAAAACCTTAAATGAACAAGATTTTGTCCAATTTCAAATTAATTCAAATTTAAAGTTTTCCAAACATTTCGATTCAAATTATTAAAAATTTTTAATCATTTGATTTTAATCTTAAGATTAAAATTTCAAGAACTTAATTCAGAATAAATTATAAAATATTTTTAGATAAATTTGTGTGATTTTTCGACCTTCAGCCAAATTTTTCCAAAAATTTTACGCTTTCCTGTAAATTCACCTCTGTAATTATTTTCATACAGTTTTTTAATCCAATTAATATTTCTAAGGTTATGGCGTTTTGAAATCCAAAGAATTTGTTGCGCCACACCATGGCGCCAAATATTAGTTTGATCCAGAAATATGAATCCTTCATCTAGGGCAATACTAAGCTCCACAAGAACATTATTGGTACCATGGACACGACTAACAGTCCAGGCTCATTCCTTGTCAGCTGCAGGATTTATGGTAAAGATTTTTTTCGGTTAAGCCAGTTTGAAGTAGAAATCCATCATGTAAAGTCTGACTGCATTAATCCGATGAAGATTATACAATATTGCGTACTACGTAAATTAATCCAGTCAACATACATAACTATGTTTATTATGTACATTACATACGTTCGCATTAACTTGCACAACCTGCTGTAGTCGTTATGGATCAAAAAACGAGGGATTAAAATTCCACCGTAATCCACATATTATTTAACGAGATCCATTCCTTTCCTAGAAAATATTCAAATTCTTAAGTGGTGCACATGCAACTTTTGATAAATGGGAGTCGAGATTGTTTCACAATAAAAAACGGGTATAAATCATACAACGAATGAGGAAGGGAAACCGTGTGTTAATTTTCTTGCTTAAAAGAAATAGTTCAATCAGACCTGAGCCGTGTTCATGATAAAAAATTATGTCAAATAAATTACTGTAGTAAATAGATTAGAAATAATAATTATTGTGGAAATCCATGACGAATTTAAAAAATATGGCTTTCGACCAATTTCAAATTTTTCCAAGTTTTCATAAAATTTTCAAACCATTTGGATTGAAATGATCCAAAGAAACAAATTTTTAAGAACTTACATTAAAAATCACTAAGTAAAAACATTTTTAAATAAAACAAGATTTTGTGATTTTTCTGCATTAGCCGCGAAATTTCAATTTAAGAAAAAGCTCAAAACATGTCCGTGTATTTTTTGTTAAAATTTTAACCCGTGATCATTTCCATACACAATTTTTTTAAATCTAATAAGTGTTTCAAAAGTTACGTATGGCCCTTAGATTCAAAGGCTTTGAATTATACAATATAACAAATTTTACGAATTTTTGCACCACGCCGAGGCGCCAAGTACGAGTTTTACACGGAAATATAAACGTATGTATCCTCCATCCAGGTCTCTGTGTCGTAGCTTTTAATAACATTGCGGTTAAATATTCTGGCCACGGTTAGCAGTCGTGGGTCATTGCTTGTCCGTTGTATTCCATTGATTATGTATTACCGCAGCAGTATATAAGTTGGAGGAGATTTAGGTTAAGTGAGTTTCTGTTAGAAATCAATCATTTAAAATCTGACAAGTTAAATCTGGACAAATTATAGAATATTTTGCACTATGTAAATTACTCCACTCAACATAAATATGTGTATTACATTACACTACGTTGGTATTAACTTAAGCGTAAGCTTTATACATAGATAAAACGAGAGATTAAAATTCCTGTGTATGTAATCCACATATTAAATATTTATAGAGATAGCTTCCCTCTTCTGGAATCGGGAAATTGAAAATTATTCATGGAAAAAATGTTAAAATTCTAAAATTATAACATCTGGTGACAAATTACCTAATGACGTAAATTTTGTCACATCATCGGACTAGTATTAAAAACTACGTCGAATGTATATAGTGGTTATGCTGGGGGCTCCGAACATTTCGAGACGTTCCCTCGTGAGATGTACATGTTAAAACTTATACGCATGTATTTCCAAGGAATGGACTTACTTCCAACTAACTTACAACGAGATTCTGTAACCTATACGTCAAGGAAACGCCATAAGCGGACGATAGTTACAAGCAAAGTTATTCATATGTCATAATTTTAATTTATAAGTTGCAAATAAAATTTGCCACAATTCCCTCCATCATTTAATTCTCGAAAGGATCATTTTCATATTGTGTTTGCATTGCTAAGTTGGTTCGGTTCATTATTGAACACCTTCTACATCCATCCATGGCAGGCTCACCTGTGTATGTAGTTCAATGTAATATACTAAATTTCATTGCTTACCAATACTTATGAATGATACATACATATTAATACATACGTCAACAGTCATGAATGCTGCTAGGTAACTATATCCTGATAAAATCAATAATTATTACGATACGAAGTGCATACATGAATTTGTTAAATAAATTACTGCAAAAAAAACATACCGCATATTTACAAGTGAACCGAATACTTAATTTACAAAAATTCTGTCTTGCTCTTTGCAAGAAGCAATCCAATCGTATTGTCGGTAACTCTGGAGACGAAATTTATAAAGTAGTCGCCTTGTATGCCATCCCTTATGGTGTCCACGGATCCAATAATTTCCAAATTTATTGAATTTGGCAGCAGAGCCTGCAACACTCTTCGTCTATATTTACTCCTTGCATTATATTTTTTCATCCTATGTAAAAATTCTTTCGATCCGGTTGCCGCCTTTGAGACAAAGTTAACCATGAACCATTCCAAAGTAAAGTCTAGAACGACAGTCGTACTAGACCCAAGCGTTATCAGGATTGATATCGGTCCCCCATCCACAATCGGTTCGAGTAACGCCCACATTCCCAAACTCGCCCATGCAACGAGATAGAAATGATGCATGCAGGTTGTAACAAAGTCTCGCGCCAGGCCCGAATGGATTATGCACATGATGCGAATTTCCTTGTAAATTTTTACCGCTTCCCCGAAACACAGTCCGCCACGAAGTTTGCCGTCATACTTGCCTGGGACGAGGCCTAATGTACACCGATGCGCGAGTGCGACGCCATACCCACTTATAAAGATGCCTGTTCCAAAACTAGCCAGCAAGATTAAAGCCCCAATCCAGGTCACGAATCCGTAAAAAGCTTGTCCCGTGTAACAAACCAGTACATGAACTTCTTCTGATACGTATTGACGACGAAGTTGTACCATAAAACGTAAAAGTGGATTTGATTTGGAAAAACTGACAAACAGTAGCAAAAAAGGAAGTATACAATCCAACCAAAAGTAGATACTTTTCCCCAAATTGAAAATTCTTAGCCGGATGGCGGAAATATCAGCGTCGATAGAGCTCTTATTTGTATCAACAATTTCTGAATGCACACATACATAAAATTAAATCAATCAAACCAGTTTCTGTTTAAATATTTACTTATGTATGATTATATATTTACCTGTAAATCGTTGCTCCAACTTTTGTGTGGCCTCGAAAACATGGATATATTTAGTAGTCCCAGAGTACCTCATGAATACCCAAGTGTATGGGACGAATGACCAAATGCTCAAAGTGAAGGCGTAAGCGAGCACGCAAGCAAGTCTGTCTGGTTTTTTAGTAGCTTCCATTGTAAATGCTTGGTAGCTTTGCCATGTTGAAATAGGTAAGAAGGCGAAAGTTATGGATAAGCAGATTGTTTGAAATAACCAATATTGCGGCTTATTTCTCAATGGGATGGCCCGTTTTGTCTTCTCGTTCCATGAAAAGCAATACGCTGTATGTAGCGAACTTCGTTGGATGTCGAGAACAAGGCGCCGCAGGAAATAGGAACTGTGGTCGTCGAACATTGTGGAAGTCTTGCCTATCGGAAATCCAGATTTGGAATGCGGAGAATAAAATGGTAGACGGAGATACATATTTATAAGATATTGAGTATTTATATTCAGTTGCATAATTATTGCATAAGTCCATACATATTGCATAAGTCGAATGTTTGACGTCTTTATTTCAATAAGGGTTAAGCCCCTTACACACGGGCGATCTGGTTGACAAGCAGTTAAATCGGCTGCGTGAATATCAAATCTGCATGTAGTCGGGATTTATGCACCCCTTCCCCGATGTCAGTGCTGCACTGATGTCAATTCATCGGACTGAATTGATATCGGTGCAGCACACAAATCAGCGTGCTGTGAGTGGATGCTCGCGTCTCATTCTTCCCGGGCGCGATTTCTGAACTAATCATTAACTCCTAGTTTCCAAAACGCCACCCTGTTTCCAAGTCACCACCACATGGGTCAGTTTTTATGTAGTCTTGTAGAAAATTTGCAGAGATGGCACTCGAGCTGTGTGTTCAACTTCCCGAGTTTCATGGCACCGATATCTCTGCCACATTAATTGTGTACACTCTCGTCGTCGTGTGTAAAGGGCTTTAGAATGGTTTGCTCACAGTTAAAAGAACCGGATGATCCACCTTTATTATGTTATTTATTTTTGTTTTGGTTTCGCAATGTGCTTACATATCTATATAAATATTTATGGAGATTAAGTATTCCAGATGCACATAGCTACTTATGATATAAACTTTTACATAATAAGAACGTAAATTCGCTAGAATTTTATTCTATGTCTATTTATATCAAGAACCTATTACATACATAACTTCGCTTACAATACGAAGGCATTTAGTGTAACACTCGGGACTACTTCCAATTACAAATATTTTTTCATCCAAAATTTCAGATTTTCAATTGACCCAAGTTGGGATATCGATTGAGCCGTTGGAATCTATCAGATGATATCATGATCAAGTTGTAATTAATAAAGATAAGTATTCGTCATTCTTAACCGAGCGTGGGAGAAGAAAGTTTTTGGAAAGATGTTGAGCACTGATTTTTTAACAGAATTAAAAAACACATCCGTAACTTTTGTTACTTCCGGATTCTCCACAAGCGTTCCTAATTCTGCTCATAAATGAGCGCTAAAAATCAGGGTCTCGTTTTTCCCGTCCAGAACACATTGTTCCCAGTGGGAAGTGAGAAAAAGTGCGAAATAGTGGGAAAAATGGGAAAGATTTCCCCACCTAGTGTATGTCGCGTAAGAACTAACGTTTTTCCCCTTTCCCACTGATATTGGAAAAAGTGCCTTCTTCACACTTTTTCCCGCTGCCCTGGACAATTTGGTTTTTACCAATCGAAACCCTGCTAAAAATTCAGTTCCCACGCACCGATAAGTCTAGCGCAAATTTAAACAAGTTTTATTATAAGTCTCATCGTCAGAGTTGGCTCATCATACAAAGAGTAGCCAGTTCAACTGTGTGTGTCTGCTTTTTTGACTCCCGCACCGAGATTTCTATGACTCGCTCTCGGTCTTCCCCTCGAGGCAAGTTGAGACGACGGGCTTAACAAAGTGCTGCTCGAAATTGGCGGGCTAAACAACTCGTGAATAAATAGTACATACATCAATATGAGAACCCAGATAAATAGAGCCTTTACTGCTTCCTATAACCTACATAGGTATGTACATAGTTTGCATAATTTTAAACAGAAACAAATTTCATTCGTGGATATTCGTCTCAACAAACCTCGATTTTTACGGTTGAAACTAACAAACAAGAAAAACATTTTTAAAATTTTAATAAATAAATAACATTTCCACGTGTTAGGCATGGATCGGTCCCCTCGTCCTCCTCTGGGACCGATCTCTAATTCTTCTACATACCACATATTCACACCGCCCAAGAGGTCCACACCAATGCCCAGGACAACATTGGGAGTGATTTTGACACACAAAGCCCCAATCTCGGCATTGAATCTATGCATTCAGACCAACATTACTTCAAAATCGTAGTCAAAGATTCATACCCAAAAACATACACATTTCGTCGCATAGCAACCACCAGCTTGGCAACAGTGTCGATCAGTCAGACAGTTGAATCCGTTTGGGCGGCAATCTATCTACTTACATGTAATAATTAAAAAAATATTTATGTATGTATGTACACATCTCTTGGCATCATTCCATTCGATGCAGTAACTTACGCATGCTCCCCCATAACAACCGCCTGCCTCGCAACACATAAGGTCGCTAACACAATAGGCGGGACACTGGATAAATTGCCAATTTTATGCATAAGAGTAACATGATAAAGTAAAAGTTGGCTGTAACCTTTTCTCCCGCCGGGGTTGCGGATGTTATATGAGCTATCCCCAGCAGGGCAAGAAGGGCTAAGTGTAGGTGACAGTTTCTCATTTCTGGTTTTTGTGAATTTTTGTAAATTTTGCGAATTTTGTGGCTGGCCTCTGTTACTCGGTTCCTTGGAATGTTAAATATGTACTGTGCAATAAGCTTCACTTCACGTATGCATTTATTTATACGCGTTTTTACTCGCATTTTGTAACTTTCAAGTGTTTATTATCTCCTGTTTCGAGACTACTGGCTGATCGTGTCACTCTGTCCGTTCCGCCGATTATTCTCGGAACTTATCGAGAAGCTAGTCTGACACTGTGCCCAATGTTCTGGTCATAAGTAGCATGTCCCAGTAACTGTGGACGGAGGCAGGATGAAGTGGATGATTTTCAAGGGCAGAAATTCTGAGACCGTCTTCCTGAAATCACATCGCAGTGTGATTTGTCGAGAATTGTGTGACTTAGTGTGATTTTATTTGTCACCATCAAGCCGTATTACGTTGCTTACATACGTATACATGTATGTAGATGGCGTCTAATAGACGCCGTCTATTAAACTCACAATAAATCACTTATCGCAACACTACACTTTAACCTCTTAAGGACGAACTACACACATTTGTGTACTGTTTTATTTTCCGTTGACGACGGAGTACACACATTTGTGCAACAATTTTATTTCTCTTGGGGACGAAATACACACATTTGTGTAGGAGATGATTTTCCGTTGAGGACGAAGTACACACATTTGTGCACTGCAAAAATTACCTTGACACAAAAATTTCTCAAAAATAAGAGCAGTTCTTTGGTAATTTGTGGAAAACTCGATGGTGAAAAGTGGATTTTTTTCGATATTTTTCTTCACAAATTTCGGAATTTTCCCTATATCAACCAATGTTAAAAAGTGGATTTTTCGTGTTTTTCGTGAAAAAACTCAAAACTTGGAAACTGGGTGAAATAAATATTCCGTCGTTTATGGGAAATCATGAAGATTTTAATTCGTTGCTATCAGGTTTAATTATGAAATCATCATCTTCCCCAAGAGAAATTGTATATGCAAATTAGTAGTATCAAAGAGGTTAAAACCTCAAGTTATCATAATCACAACAATCACATAATCATCACAGTCGGACCAAGATCACCCTCTTTACCGACACGAATGTAAGATATCCTGGCCAGTCGCGACATCGAAAAAATATGCATGTAATTCGGGCTACACGAAGCTCTGTATACTACGTATTAATTTATATTTAATTAAAACTGTCATTATTATCTTATCGGCTTATTGACATTTACAAACCTGCTCAATAGGTCGACACGTGTGTACATATGTATGTAACTTACGTAAAAATTGTGTTATTGGAAATTCCCTGGAATGGCTGATGGGTTTCCCAATTGCGCATATACATATGTGTGTATTGCTAAAACATATCTAATTATGGTAAAAAATGCACAAGTTTTTATGCATGTGCGATCTTGATTCCAAACTGGAGTTACCAGTGAAAGAGCATGTCTTGAAATTGTATCCACTATGTTCCATCGTCGGAATCCAGGTACATACATATGTACAGATTTACATATGTATTTCGAAACGACCGATTAAAAGCATGTTTACAGAAGGAATTACTCGTCACAAGGAATATTTTTGGAATGAATTTCTCGAATTATAAAAAGACAAGATCAAAAAACTTGCCAAAAACGAAATTAAAAATTCAATATTTCAATGAGTCCCTGTACAAATGTTCATAAAAAATGTTCACTTTTCATACTGCGACCCGCATGAAAATGACCTGGCGAAAATTGGCTGAATTTCGTGCACAATTATGCACAAATTTGTGCAGGATGTTGCAAACTGTCTATTTTATGTAAGCAAAAAAGTTGTGCCTAAACCACTATGCAGTGGTTTTCTGCCCAATTCTGTCTAATTCTGCACAGATTTTGTACGGAATCAGTTTATGAAGAAAATTCAGCCAATTTTCGCAACGCCATTTTCATGCATACATATTTCCATGTTTTTAGTTTTAGAACTATCTCATCACGTAAAATGTCTTTTTTATAGAAATTAGGTTACAATTTCCTCAAAAAATGTGTTCCAAAATCTGTACATAAATGCCCAACATTGTGTCGCGAACTAGAAATTGAATTTGCATGACAATGGATGAGGAAATGCGTTAAACTTTCCATTCTTTAACAATGCCCGGAATCATGGGCCACTCAAGCCGTGGGGACGATACAGTGCATGGTATGAAAGAGTCCTCCGTACTCAACATGGTGACATTATTTTGTCACCATTTTGTAAAAAGTAGGGAATTTTGTAAAAAGTAGGGAAATCTTAAACCAAAAGAAACAATGAGATTTTAAACCATCTAAAATATCTGCAGTCGTCATTATCAAGAGTGATGCGGATTCTTAACTCTTGCAAAGCTATTGTAGGGAAGGGGGTCAATTTAACTTTGTCCTACATTAATTGGAAATCGATACATAACTGTGTCAAGTAGATATAAATAAATAAGCGTAGGCGGTTTGAAGTATCGCTTACCAGGCACTTATTAAAAATCATATTATACTTACGTACCTATGTGTGAGCAAGTGCCATTAGCTAAATTGGTATACATATGTATCCGCCTGACACAATAAGTAATGTTTGTATGCATTGTAGGGCTGAAAGCCTACACAACGCGAATTCCATGCGTCAGTCGCGTCGACTTAATATTTATTTAATTATCCAGTCTGGCTCTGCAGAGCCAGAGACTGGTTCTACATAATTTGCCGTGAAGGACAAATATATGTAAGGCGGGTGAGATGCCCGCAACCGACCATTTAAGGAGCTGCTCAGCTCGATTTCGCCCACTATGATTGTGACTCGAGACGAGTCAACTTCTCTTCCTCCCCATAAGGGCTCACCCACATATGCGTTTTGTCCTGCGTGATGCGGCATTTTTTGATGCTGATGCCGGTTTCCGCATTACCCACATCAAAAAATGCAAAATCGTTCACATTTGCGTCATTTTTCTGCCACATTAATTTGATGCCACATCTGAGATTCTGCAGTTTTTGACGCTGCAACTTGTTTGTCAAATGTGAATAGTTTTGCAGTTCTTTCACAAGATTCTCAACTCAATGGCATGATACAATTGGTGGGAAACTTAAGCTAACCTGCTAATCTTACTAAAAAGTTGACACTTCTCTTCAAGTCTTGGAAATAATAAATTAATTTGGTTATTATTCCAATTCATATATTAAAAATGGGCTCCAATTGCGGCGACTAAATTTTTATAAACTCTTTTTCGAGTCCTGTCGACAGGAAGTGCGTATATATCGTGCACATATTTCTACATGTACAATCGTCCCACTAATATCAAGGAACGCAAGTATTGCTGCGGAAACTTTGAGGGTATGAGACCATTTAATTACTTAATTTTTATCAATTAATGGTGCATTTCTACCGATTGATTGGTATATGTAGTTGTTCATTTTCTTTGTTTAGTTATCACCAATAACGCTCGGAGTCGAAACCAGAAGGTGAAGTGAGAAACTGAGCGACATTCAGGCCTGCATGTCAATACCAATGCGACGTTCTTCGGGCGTTCCTCAAAAATAGAATCAGGTCGACCTGAAGTAAATTTGACATTGCCATCGGTCCGTACACGAGCAGGCAGAGGAACGAATCCATTTAAGATGGGTTTTATTAAACTTTATTCGGAATAAAGATAACGATGTGATCCCTCCTTTTAACAATGTTAATAACACTATGCTATTGTTCTATTTCAGTTGGAGATCGAGAGTTAATTAATTCGCAAAATCTACGTATGGTCACTGCTGGTGTTTATTGGAAAGATCTCAATAATCAATTTAGAATGGACAGAAAATTTAATGGAATTGAGTCGGCTCAAATTGATTTTTATATAATAATAGTATTCCTGAAGTTTGCTATTAAATGTGCATATTTTTGTCGAAGTTATAAATAAAATTACAAGTTGCCTGGTATTTAATTTTGATATTTATGTTTGAATTTCTCATTTGCATTTCCTTGATTTCCATTTATTTAGCTTTAATTTTTATGTCGACATAAATAAATACAATGCATTGAGTACATTAATATTTTGACTGAAATTGTTGAAATATATCGTAACTAATTATAATTTATCAAAATTAAATCAAAGAACCAGTGAACAAAGTTTTAAAACCGATTTGATCATGATTTTACCTTAAAGATGCAGAAGAATCTACTTTGCTGCTTCTCTGGGAGAAGCCGCAAGATTTTGAGATGCGCAACAGGAAAATGAGCTGCGGCAGCAAATTGATGTTGCTGCAAAATTATATGTGAACAGTAGGGAAGCAAAAGCTGCGACAGCAAAAACTGCGCGCAGCAAAAGTTTTGCTGCCACATTTTTTGCCGCAAATGTGAACGGTCGTGATGCGTGATGTGACATCAAAAAATGCCGCATCACGCAGCAAAAGACGCATATGTGGCTGAGGCCTAAGTCACTCGAGACGAGCGGCCGATCCAGCCATGCACATTTATGTATGTAAACTAACAAGCCAGCGACTGTCTCTACCACTGAAGACAGGGGTAGCGGCTCTATGGCCCCTTTCTGCTAACTAATCCTCTTCCCTACAATAAATTTATACTTGATTAATGTTATAAGACCAAGCATCGTCATTTTTCCCAATTCGACTCCGTTCCGCCGCATAACTCTTATATAGCATGGGTAGGCCTCCTACAACCAGTGCAAGATAGGCAGTTCCAAACTCTCCACTGGTAACTTATGTATAAACACATGGCCATGCTTAAAAGCATTGCCATTTTTATATATCCTTGAGCTAAAGTCCCATTTAGCTTCTGGTTAATCATTTCCAGACAGACACGGCAATCACACCGCTCTCTGTCCTATATCATATAGGCTATATGTAAGTGACACTCCTATTCCAATCTCAAAAACGCTGCTCAACGCATTTGAGCACGCTCACTCTGCAACTCGTAAAAGGTTGCCTCTCTCCTCTCATCTGAGTTCTCGCCCGTACAGCATGCATGTATTTACATAATTACATATTATACATATATACATATAAATCCATACGCATAAATGTATATGTATAAAGTGTATATAATGTACCTGCAAATAAATGAAGTATATTTTTATTACGTACGCAA